TCTTACCCCATCAGCAGCACAATCAGCATTAAGAAGAATACTGCCTTATCCTTGCAAAAAGCAGTACACTGCAGTGATTCTGATGCCCCGGAAGTCTTGGTTCAAGTTGCTGAGATCTTTCTTCCAGTCTTCTCCGACCAATTATGTTAGAAATGCAAAGGTCAGTTTTATATCTATCCTCTCTGCTACCGATTCCAAAATCTTATCACTGTGTCTTCTAGCAATTGTCATTGATTTTTGAAGTTGTCTATTTCTTTTTTTCCCTTTGAAACTCCATTGCAGTTTTCTTCACCATCCCTTGGCTGCCACTTATGTTAAATTCTGTAATTGGTGAATCTTGGGGTTTTTTAGTTTTCATTCCTAAAATTTATATATATTGTGCAAGTATATATTCATAAAAGTATTAAGTATGTAAAATTTTGTATTTATAAAATAACTTAGAAAACAAATACAATAATTTTTTAAAAATAATTCCGCCGTCATTTCATTTATTGTCGATTAGTATATAATCTTGTGGATGAAATACGTTTAAATTTACATAATTTATATTCGTAATTTCATTATTCTGGAATTATTGATGATACTGCATAAATTTTTTATGTAACAAATAGTTATATATGGTGTCAGATTTTAGCAGGCATTGCTGGATTGGCGATTTTAGGACTGAGTTTTTGGAGAAGTTCACGCAGTGGCATAAAATCTTAAGATGGAGGTTCCTACATTTTGTCGAGTGATTAGAGATGAAAAAAGAATTTGACCCAATGAGAGTATTATGAAGGGGGATTAAGCACCGGTCACTCTACATCCAATTTTTAAGATGTTCATAAATTCTCAATCTCTCCATGTGTCAGCTTTTATTTTTGCTCTTTACTGAACATAATCTGAGAACTAGGGGATAGATGGTTTTAAATTATATACATATATGTATGTATATACACACAAATACATGCCTATTACCTTGTTTAGATTGATAATTATTATTATTTTCTTTTTAATCACGGGGAGGCTCAAAGTAATACTATTCATGTTCGTGGCTTCAAGCAGTGTGTTTTAACCTTCCCTAGTAATCAAAATATGGTGTAAATTCTTAAAAAAGATCAAATATATTTTTTTTAAAAAAAATAAAAATGAATAATTAGAGACTTACAAGTAACAAAAGCCAGTGAATGAGAAATATTGTTTTTAGGAGGATAAAGAAAATATAAATTTTTAAATAGAATAGAAAATATTTTTAATTACTATATTATAAATTTTTAAAATATAATAGTAATTTTTATATGTACCAAAATTAAATTGTTCCTTAAAAAAAAAAAAACAAAACCCTATCACATTGGACCTACCTTCATATGAGTGCACCCATTTTCTACCTAGCGCCGTCAGCGACCATCATAAAACCCTAAGAACTTTCATCTTCTTCCTTAATCTTGCGACGGTGGTAGCTGCAAGGGTAAAGCCATCTGGATCTTTTCCTTGCTTTCATTTTCTTCCGTGTTTGTTTGATTCAGTATTTTCAATAAAATATTCTTACTTCTTACAATCTTTTTTTTTTTTTTTTGTTTTCTTCGCATTTATGTCTTATATGTTTCTTTATCATCAGGATGAATTTGAGAACGATTTTTTGATCTCCGACAAGTCTGTTTTCTTCTTCTTTTTACTGATGTTTAGTAGTGTTTTATTCTTTCTTCTTTTTCTTTACTCTTTTCCTAAGGTTGAAGATCTCTCTGTTTACGCGGATTTAACGGGGCTTTTTTTTTTTTTTATATCTTCTATTCCTTCCTTTCCTCCGTTTGTCTCTGCGTGTACTTGGATTTATGTTATTCAGATCTATGTGGGCTGGTGTATGAAATATTGGTCTGTGATTTTTTTTTTTTGTGATCAAACTTCCTTTGCTGTGTACTGACAAGGATTATCATGATTGATGTCTCAACATCGGTGCATATTGGTGATTTTTTATCCGTGCATGCAATCAGTTATTTTTTCACTTTGAAGTATCAGTAAGTAGTATGATTTTAAGTCATGAAAACTGGTGTAAATGATTTTTTTCTTTGACTGCTCGTTTTCATACTGGAACTGGGTTTGGTGCGTGTTAGTCTTACAGAAATGGGATTCATCTAATTTTTAGGTTATGTTGCTAAACTTCGATTATGGTTTCTTTCTTTCCTGTTTATTCCCTTAGGTCGTACGCCTTTTGCTTCCGAATCTAGTTTCTTTTGGTATTTCTAAACTTGTGGTATTTTTTTTTTTGAAATAGTAAACTTGTGGTATTTTAGGTTAGACTTGATATTGCAGCAAGAAGATTTTGTTGGAAGGGACTTTATTCTCCTTGAAGATTAGGAATTCCATTTATTTTCTGTTTTGACTACATGAAATTCCCCTCCCCTTT